GTCCTGGGGTCATGTAATCGCCTTGTGTGACCTTTTGACAAAATATAAAAATTTTAATCAAGACCCCCCCCACCCCCAGTCAATAGTGTCCCTCCTTACCAATCTGAAAATCTGGTCACCTTAGTTTAACAACATGCATGTTCACAGCAGAGAGACAAGTTTCCTAAAATCCAATAAATTTTTCTTAGGAGAGGGAGCACAAATGTGGAACAGGAAAATAAGATGAGAAAAAGAAGAATTGAAAATAAAAACACAGATAGAATATTTCACTGGGATATACAGTCACAAAGAAAAAGCAGAGAAAGGAGTTCTCCCAAAAAAGAAATCACAAAATAGTAAGGAGAACACAGAAAACCCTGGGGAAAGTTACTAGAATAATAAAAGTAAATACTCTGAAGAAAAGATACAAGCATCACAAAAATAGGAAAAAGAAAAAGAGAAAGTTAGGGGAAAGGGGGAGAAGAAGGGAAAAAATTAAAACTGGAATTTTTGAGACCCAAGAGAAAATGGTTAAAAGGGGAAGAAAGGAGGAAAGAGTTACATGATTAAAGAGAGTAGTAGTAAGATTGTTGTTGGGGTGTAACTAATTAAGAAATAAATAAATGATAGTATATTGTTAATTGTAGAAACAATTGAAAGAAATGCTGTCTATGTTTAAATTGGGTTCACCGACAAAACCGCGAAGCCCTTTTCCGCGCCGACATAACCGCAGAGGGCAAATCCGCGTCTTCCGAAGCGCTCAGCACCCTAACCCTAACCCTAAACCTAACCCTAAACCTAACCCTAAACCTAACCCTAAACCTAACCCTAAGCTAACCCTAACCCTAAACCTAAACCTAACCCTAAACCTAACCCAGTGATGACATCGCAGTTTTAGCGACGTGGCTTTGTCGGCGCGCTTTTGTCGTGCGTGATTTTCTCGGGTCACGTTTAAATTGAATTAGAGAATGTATGCTGTTTATAGTAAAATATACCAATGGAGAAAATAAGAAAGGATAATTTGGTGTAACTTTGAATGGGCAATTGAAGATATTGTTTATGTATTAAGAAAAAATAATCATAAAGATGAAAAATAATGGAAGAGAATAATTGAAAGTGAAAATGAAACTATGATGTTAAAAGGACTCTGAATGAGAGGATGTAAAAGAAAAGACTCCGACAACTCTTTGTTCCTATAATATGTATAATTTGTATTAAAAAAGAAAAAAACTTCAATGGAAACAAAAGTTTGCCTTAGGGGAGTCCCAAAATAGTAGACACAAGACTAGTCAAACAGTCCAAGGGTCCAAATGTAGAAGGTTCATCAGCCAGTTCAAAGAGTCAGAGTCAAACTCCTGAGGTTGGGAGACAAGGCACGCAGAGTCTAGGTAAACCAACAATTGTGGCCAACAGAGAGACTGGAGCTTGCTATTCTTAAACAGAAGCAATTCCAGCATCCATGGATATTCTCAGTCACCCAGGTCACCTTTGGGATAAGCAATCCCAATGTTACTCTTTTGGAAGGGCAAAGCTCCTTTCTTGCACGGAGCCTTACAGAATGTGTTTCCTCTGCTCTGCTCTCTGCACAGTGAATTCTTGCACTGGGAAGCGATGTGTCCTCATTTTCAGACACTGGCAGCAGCTGTGCCTACTGGTTACTGCATGGCTCCATCTTCTTTCTTTGCAGCTAATCAGGCAGCAACACTGGAACTGAATGCTAATTGTCAGTCTCCTCATCTGAACCTGGACTTGTTATGACAGTGACAGCGTTCCTTGTAAGGAACTTGCCAAAAGAATCCTTTTCTTAGATTGTATCAAAATATTAAATTTAGGTATCCTGACATGGCTCTCCCCTTTTTCTTGAATAAATCTAGCCCCAGCTCTGTGTACTTCTAAAGACAACAATGACTACTGTTATTTTCTAGAATTGCTTCTACCCATAAATATGTGCACAAGAAAAGTCACCCTATGAAAGGATGAAACCAACTGAAATAACTGGATTTTTACCTAAGGAAGACACATAACTTTGCTACTGTTTTCTTGAAAGCAGCTTTTATCTCTTTGTTCCTCAGGCTGTAAATGATGGGGTTCAAGCTTGGGGTCACTACTGTGTAGAGTAGGGCAAGGAACCTGTTATTGTCCTGAGAATTTGCTGAGTTGGGATGAATGTAGGCTGCAGTGATTGTTCCATAGTAGAGAAGAACAACAGTGAGATGTGAGGAACAAGTGGAAAATGCTTTCTGCCTGTTCTTAGCCGCTGGCATCATGAGAATAGTAGAGATGATGAGGATATAGGAAAAAAGGATGAACAAAAGGGGTACCAGGGCAAATACCATGGTTAGTATGGCATTGGCCACTTCATTTTTGTAAGTATCGGTGGAAGTCAGTCTTAAAACAGGCATAATATCACAGAAGAAATGGCTGATTCTATTCAACCTGCAGAATGGAAGGGTGAATATTGAAACAGATTGCCCCAAACCCATCAAAATCCCAAAGACCCATGATGCAGCAACAAAATTAACACATTCCCTGTAGTTCATGATATATGGGTATTGCAAAGGTTTGCAAATGGCAACATAGCGGTCATATGCCATGACACAAAGAAGACAACATTCAGTGACACTAAAAAGAACAAAGAAACACATTTGACATCCACAACCCCAAAGGGATATAGTCTGATTCTTTGATAATAAGTTCATTAGCATCTTTGGATTGATGGAGGAGGTATAGCCGATTTCCAAAAAAGACAGGTTCCAGAGGAAGAAGTACATTGGGGTATGAAGGGTAGGGCTTAAAATAGTGACGATCAAAACCAGGCTGTTGCCCATCAAGGCTATGAAGTAGAATATTAGAACCAGGCAAAATAAAAGCTCTTGTATTGTCTTGAAATCTGAGAAACCTATCAAGATCATCTCAGTCAAACAGGACTGGTTGTCTTTCTTCATAGTATTGTCCAGGTTGAAGCCTAAGAAAGCAAGAAGAATCTGACATAAGCATTACATTCCTCTTTTAGCAATTTCAGCTTTGAAGAATACGAATGGGAAGTTTGAACATTAGTTTTGAAGAATATCATGGATAAACTAGAAAATAACCAAGTGGACCTAATAAAACATGTCAAACCAGAGTTCTCGAGACTCAAATCATCAGATTTAAATTAATTTATCTTGGACATATTATGCAAAGAGATAGGTTTCTGGAAAAAGCTTTGTTGCTGTGAAAGGTAGAAGGAAAGAGAAGAGGGAAACAATCAGCAAATTACATGGCCTAAGTTGCAATGACAATAAATGCATCCTTGGAAAACCTAAAGGACTAGATTAGGGACAGATCATTATGCAGACAATTTATAGTCAACATTGATTTGATAGCACCTAATTGGTCAATCAATTTAACAATTAATAACCTTTTAATAATAGATATTTATATCCTGCATCCCTCACATTTACTCAAAAGAAGTCAACTGGATCGTTATTGAAAATTGAAGACTGCTTATTTAAATTTAGTGTCCTACACAGTTTTTTTTGCAATTATATCATTTAATGAATCACACAGTCATTCTCTCTTTTTTTCAGAATTGGTTTGTCAAAATTTTCAATGTTCAGAATTTAAACATGTCCCTCTTGAGTTTAGGGCAGAGACTTGCTTTCAATGTGACACATCTTTGTTTCTTTAATTCTTTATTATTTCAGTGATTCTGACCATTGTAAGAATGAAAGCTGTTACTGAGTTTCCTTGAAATAAAAACTTTTTATAACTACATTGCTGATGATAAAATTCTCTTAATATTCATCAGACTGTTATTAAAAAATGAAACTTCTTTTCATGAAATTGACTATCTGTAGGAACCATCCCACCAAATCTGACCTTCATAAATTATGAGATTTCAGTCTTACTTTGTGAATGGTTTTCTGGTGGTTTTTTTTATAGAGATAATTCCTTCTTAAGGAACGAGCCACATGCTGTAATATTCATTGGTAATTCAAGGTCTTGAAAATTCTACTGCCTTAAATGAGTCTTTATGCTTTCCTTCCTCAGAAAAAAAATGAAATACTGTAGGCTCTTTAGTGGAGCTGACATTACCAAATTTGGCCCCTGGACTCCTAGAGGTTCCAAAATTCCAGAGAGACTGGAGATTTTTTTTTCTCTAACAAGGTCTCATGAAACATCAAAGGTTTCATCCTGGGGATCTGGCAAATTAATACCAGAAGACAACCTGGATCTAGGGAAAATCATTCCCTACAGCTAAGTTAACAAACCCAGTGGATACTAGATATTTTCATTTACAATTTCCATGACTCTCTAACCATTTGCCATGCTAACTCACTCATATAGGGAATTTAGTTCAAAAGATGATTACAATGGCATAATAGATATTGTGCCTAAAGTTCTGCCATGAAATCAATAACTGTGTGGAAACTTTTGGGGCTGATTTTAATATTACTCCTCTTCCTTGAGCTCCAGAAAGTTCAATTTTATTTCAATTCCTTTCCCATTTCTTCTGTATCACCTGATGCTCACATGATGTGGATCTCAAATAGTATAGTTTGTTTGTAATTAAATATTCACATTGTTGGGTTACCTCTGGTGATTCATCTAGAATTTTCTATGATTGGGCATACGTAAAAAATTGAAATTATAAGCAAATCAGTCCTGGCTTTTGTAGTACATATTGCTGTTGCTTTGATAGCCGTTTTATCAACTTAGTAGAAATTGAATAGTTCACAGGGGAGCCAGCTCAGAGTACCATTTATTAATTACTTTATTGATACTGAAATTTACTGATTGCTCCATCTAGCCCAGATTCCCTAGCCCAGATTTCAATGAGGGACTATTTTTATGTTAGTTTTATAGTTCTCTTTAAAGAGAACTTTATTAGACCTCTTACTGAAACTGGAATGACCTTACAAGAATATCCAGAGAAAGATCTGGATTTCTGCATCCAGTGGCAAAAGGGGAAATCTAACCAGCTAGTTCCTTGCATAGTTGTTATGTCACCCAAGTTGTAATTACTCCATCTGTAAATGTTAAAAAAGGAATCCAATAGGTTTGTCATTGAAGAATAAGAAGAAATATTTCAATAGGTAAAAGGTAAAGGTTCCCCTTGCACTTATGTGCTAGTCGTTCCTGGCTCTAGGGGGCAGTGCTCATCACCATTTCAAAGCCGAAGAGTTAGTGCTATCTAAAGACATCTCCATGGTCATGTGGCCAGCATGACTAAATGGCAAAGGTGCACAGAATGTTGTTATCTTCCCACCAAAGTGGTTTCTATTTTTCTACTTGCATTTTTACGTGCTTTCAAACTGCTAGGTTGGCAGAAGCTCGGACAAGTACCGGGAGCTCACTCTGTTAGGCAGTGCTAGGGATTCGAACTGCCAACCTTTCTGATCAGCAAACTCAGCGTCTTAGCCACTGAGCCACTGCATCTCTTAATATTTCAATACAGGATAATAAAACACTGATCTCATATAAATGATAAATGGATAAAGGGTTTTTTTTAATAACAAAGAACAGCATTTGTTTATTATTGTTGCAATTCTAATAAGACCAATATATCCAGGAATATTTTTTTTAAAAAAATCAAAATTAATCTAAAGTTCCTATGTGGTACCATCTCTGAATTCAGTGCTCAGTTGTATATATACTTGAATAAATAATACTGTCTGATATTCCTTTATCTCCCTTTTCATGAAAGTAGTAAATCTCTCATACTCCTATTTCTGCACCTCAAATTAAAAGCTCCTAAACCAGATTCATCTTCCCAGCAAAAATAAAGGAATGGAACAAAGACAAAAATATCACAAAATATGTGAGATCTGGGAAACCAAAAGATTAAAACTTCCTACACAGAAATTGTGTTTATAGAATATTGCCTTCTTGTATTTCAGAATCTCAAATGACTTGGTCATCTTCCTCATTGTTTCATTCACACACCCTGATTGCTACTGACCTCTTGAAATGATACTTTATCTCCTTCCTTTTGCCACCCCTTTCTTTAGACTTTTTGAGCAGTCTGGCATTCTTCCTTTTCAATAAATTGACAGCTAACCTTTATCTGAATCAGAATAATGTAAGCAGGACATGGTGGTTCTGTGGCTAAAACACTGAGCTTGTCGATCAGAAAGGTTGGCAGTTCATCGGTTCAAATCCCTAGAGCTGCCTAACGGAGTGAGCTCCGTGAGCCTTCGGCATTTAGTCATGCAGGCCACATGACCAAAGAGAAATCTCTGAACCACGTTGTCTCTCTGGCTTTGAAACAGAGATCAGTACCATCCCCTAGAATCGGGAACGACTAGCACATATATGCGAGGGAAACTTATACCTTTACTTTTAATGTGCTTAGGTTAACTTTCAAGACTCTCTCCCTATTTTAAATAAATCTATCCAGATCATTCTTCAGTAAAGATTCATTCTGCCATTAATATATCCATTTTACCTAATATTTATGTTCACAATTGAATTCTGTTGAAGAGAACAAATATGTAGGTACACTAAAATTATTCAGTAAAGAAGATCTGCTTCCTTGTTACAGATTTCATGAAAGCAGCCTTTATCTCTTTATTCCTCAAGCTGTAAATGATGGGGTTCAAACTCGGGGTCACTACTGTGTAGAGCAGGGCAAGAAATCTATTACTATCCATAGAATATTCTGAGCTGGGATGAATGTAGGTAAAAATGCCAGTCCCAAAGAAAATGCAGACTACGGTGAGATGTGAGGAACAAGTGGAAAATGCTTTGCGCCTGTTCTTGGCCAGTGGCATTGTGAAAATGGTGGAAATGATGAGGATGTAGGAAAAAAGGATGAGCAAAAGGGGTACAAGAATAACTAGAACTGTTATTATGACAATGGCCACTTCATTTTTGTAAATATTGGTGGAAGCCAGTCTCAGAACAGGCATAAGGTCACAGAAGAAATGGCTGATTCTGTTTGACCCACAGAAGGGAAGGGTGAAGATTGAAATAGATTGCCCCAGACCCACCGATATCCCAATGGTCCACGAGGCAGCAGCAAGCTTAGCACATTCCCTGAGGTTCATGATATATGGGTATTGCAAGGGTTGGCAAATGGCAACGTAGCGGTCATATGCCATGACACAAAGGAGACAACACTCAGTGGTACCAAAGAGAAGGAAGAAACACAATTGAATTCCACAGCCCCAAAATGATATGTTCTGGTTGTCTGATAATGCATTCACCAACATCTTTGGGCTGATGGAGGAGGTGTAGCCAATTTCCACAAAGGACAAGTTCCAGAGAAAGAAGTACATTGGGGTGTGAAGACTAGGACTGGTAAGAGTGAGGATCAAAACCAGGCTGTTGCCTATCAGGGCTATGAAGTAGAATATTAGAACCAGGCAAAAGAAAAGTTCTTGTACTGTCTGGAAATCTGAGAAGCCCAAAAGGATGAACTCGGTCAAACAGGACTGGTTGTCTTTCTTCATAATATTGTTGAGACTTAAGCCTGAGAACACAAAATGAATGTGAAATAAAAATTACATTTGTTTTCAGTAATTTCAATCTTGAGGAATAACAATGGAAAAACTAATTTAAATGTCTGAACATCATTATTTTTTTAAAAAAACTTGAGAATATTAAGAATACCAAGAAAATAAACAAGTGGATCATTAAACAAAGTTCTCACAAAGAGCACAAATCATCACACTCAAGTTATTTCACTTTGAACATATTATGCGAAGACCAGGGTTTCTGGAAAAAGCTCTATTGCTAGAAAAGATGGGAGGAAAGACAAGAGGAAGACGATCAGCAAGTTATTTGGACAAAGTTAAAGTGCCAATAGGTGTATCTTTGGGAAACCTGAAGGACCAAGTTATAGACAGATCATCCCGCAGACAATTTAGAATCAACAATGACTTGTTGATGTGCAACTATTGGTTTTAGCAGCTATTGACAATCAATACCCTTTTCACACTAAATAATTATTTTCTATATCCACATTTATCAAAAGTAGTTAATTGGATCAAGTTCTTGAAAACTAGAGACTGGTCATCTAATTTAATGTACTTCAGACTTTTTTGCAATTATACCATTTTAATGAATCACACAATAATTCTCTATATTTTTAGAACTGATTTGTCAGAATTTTCAGTGCCGACAATTTAAACATGGACCTCTTGAGTTTAAGGCAGAGCCTTAATTTCAAGGTGACACAACTTTGCCTATTTAATTCTTTATTATTTTAGAGATTCTGGCCATTACAAGAATGAACTCAATTTTTACTGATTTGAATTAAGAACTTTTTACTGCTGGTGATAAAATTCTCTTAATATTTCTCAGTCTATCATTCAAAAATGAAACTTATTTTCATGAAGTTGCATACCCACTGGAACCATCCCACTGAACCTGACCTTGTTTATTTATGAAGTATAAATCTTACTTTATGAATGGTTTTTTGATGATTTTTATAGAGATAGAATATTTCTTCTTAAGGAACACTGCACATGCTGTAACTTTCATTGGTAATTCAAGATCTTGAAAATGAGTCTTTATGCAGTCCCTCCTCGGGAAAAAATGTATAATGTAGGCTGTTTATAGGAACTGACATTAACAAGTCTAAAGAAGCCTCCAGACTCCTAGAAGTTCCAAAATTCCAGAGAGATTTGAAGACTTTTTCTCTAACAAGGTCTCATGAAAGAAACTCAAAGATTGATCTTGGGAATCTGATAAATTAATACCAGAAGACACCCCGGCCCCAGGGTAATACACTCCCTACACCAGAATTAGGAAACCCAGTGATCTCAGATACTTAATATTTTCATTTACAATTTCTGTAACTTTGAGATAATTTTAATATCTCTCCTCTTTCCTGAGTTGAAGAAATTCCAATTTATTTCAGTTCCTTTTCCATTTCTTTCATTTCACCTGATGTCACACCAGTGGTGGGATTCAACTGGTTCTGTGGGCATGGATTTGTGCCCATGGCTTAGTGGGCATGGCAGGGGAAGGGTACTGTAAAATCTCCATTCCCTCCCCACTCCAGGGGAAGGTTACTGCAAAATCCCTATTTCTTCCTGATCAGCTGGGACTCGGGAGGCAGAGAATAGATTGGGGGGGGGCAGTCAGAGGTGGTATTTACCGGTTCTCTGAACTGCTCAAAATTTCCACTACAGGTTCTCCAGAACTGGTCAGAACCTGCTGAATGCCACCTTTGGCTCACACAATTTGAATCTCAAATAATACAGTTTGTTCATAGTTAAATATTCACATTGTTGGGTTAAGTAGTGATTCACCTACAATTTTGTATGATTGGGTGGATGAAGAAATTGAAATTATGAGCATATCCATCCTGGATTTTATAATTTGAAGAATGCGTAGTTGTGTTCCTGTAATAGCATTACATATTAGTAGGAATTCTGGATAGTTCACAGGGGATCCAACTGGAAGTAGCATTTATGAATGTTTTATTGATATAGAAATTTACTGATTGCTCCACTTAACCAAGATTCTCAGAAATGATATCATAAAATATATTTCAAAAACATCTATATTTTTATTAGAGTGGCAGAGACATGACCTCAGAGAAAGGAGGCAGACGTGATTACAGAAACAAAAATATGTTTTAATCCCAGGAAACATGGAAATCCTAAGAAAGAAGCTCTAATTGACTCCATCTTCATTCATTCAGGTATAACAGGCTGAGTCAAGCTTTCAGGATTCTGTTATTGTAACCCGCATCAGGTTAACAGATTAATCTGATCCAACAGAGTTGGAAGGGACCTTATGGTTTATCTAGTCCAGCCTCCCCCCTCCACCGCTCAAGCAGGAGACCCTACACCATTTCTAACAAAGGGCAGCCCAATCTCTTCTTGAAAGTCTCAAGTGATGAAGCTCCCAAAACTTCCAAAGGCAACTTCTATTCCATTCTCCCTTTCAGAAATTTCCTCCTTATTTCTAGGTTGAATCTCTCCTTGTTCAGTTTCCATCCATTATTCCTTGTCTGGCCTTCAGGTGCCTTAGAAAATAGCTTGGCCCTCTCCTCTCTGTGACAGCCCCTGAAATATTGGAATATTGCTGTCAATGTGGTAGAATTTCAGTCAACCTGGTGGAGTCTATTTCAAATCTGAGCTACATGGAAAGAATAACAGCTAAATTTCATTAACAAACACCCAAACTTTCCATTAAGCTCAAAATGAGCTTAGTATTCTTTACTTAGCTGATACTCTGCCTTGGAAGTTTTAGGAAAAAGAAGCATCTAGTGCAATGGTTCTCAATCTTCCCAATGCCGCCAACCCTTTAATATAGTCTCTCGTGTTGTGGTGACCCCCAACGATAAAATTGGTGTCTCGGTTCCTAAGACCATTGAAAATATGTGTTTTCCGATGGTCTTAGGTGACCCCTATAAAAGGATCATTCGACACCCCCCCCCCAAGGGGTCACGACCCACAGGTTAAGAACTGCTGATCTGGTGGCATTTCTGAACATTAAAAGATAGGGGACTAGAGGTGGTATATAGCCAGTTCTAACTGGTTCTAGTGAACCAGTAGTGGAAATTTTGAATAGTTTAGAGAACCAGCAAATACCACCTCTGGCTGGCTCCACCTCCATCTATTCATTGCCTCCTGAGTCACAGCTGATTGGAGTCACAGCTGATCAGCTGAGTCTTCTTTTGTTGTCCTGCACAGGAGAACAGAGCTGGAAAGCAGGTTAATGGGGTGGGTAAGGAATGGGGATTTTGCAGTATCCTTCTCTTGCCACACCTACAAAGCCATGCCCATGGAACCAGTAATAAAAAAATTAAATCCCCCCACTGGAGGGCACCATATTAGCCAGTTGAGACAAATTCTTCCAGAGGGAAAGACATTACTTAGCTGGCCGGTTTCAGACTATTATTCAAATCACAATAAAATAAATCGATATGAATCTAGGCTCATATGCTCAGAAGGCCCAATCCTCTGAAAAATATCTGTAGAGATTCTTAGTCACCTAGATCATAGTTGTCCCATAGATGCTTCCTCAAGAGGCAACTAGGCTTTGTTTCCTTGAACATGTTTTTCCTTGAAGATATTTCACTTCTCATCCAAGAAGCTTCTTCAATGCTGACTGAAGCCTTGAAGAACTCAAGAAC